ATCTCGGGGGGGGGGTCCTTAAATGGGGGCAATGCAGCCGTCCCGCCGAGGCTTTTTTTCTTGGGAATTCAGCTCCTCCGACCTGCCCTGGCCGTCCTATAATGCAAAAGGGGCGGGGGGCGTTTATAACTTAAAGGGTCTTTCCCTTAAAACGCCCCTCGGGTTCCGTGGGAACTACAACTGCCCTAATTCCCAGCCTCAGATCTGGCTCCCTTGGAGCAGCAGCAACGGGCAAGCCGCAACCGAAGTGTTGCAGCATGGAGGACTCCCCTTTGGGACATGCCTCTGCATCCCCTCCCCTCATTCCCCCTTCGGCTTCCCCCCTCCCCCCCCCCCCCCCATCCCCCCTCCCAACTCCTCCCCCCCCCCCCGCAGCCAGTCTTACTGATTGGTTGGGGGGGTGTCTTTACCTTGCCCTTCTTTGCTAGCATGGGAAGGAAGAGATCCTCCACCTCCAGAAGCAGCCTACCTGTAAACACTCCTCTCGCCATGAGCTGTTTGTGGCCTTCCTGAAGTCACCTCTGGCTTCTTATTGTCAACATTATCTAACTAATACGTTTAAAATGCATTTGTGGCCTTAATTAAGCAGGGGTGGGTGGGTGTTTGGGGAGGGGGCAAAGCAGCTCGCAGACCAGAGATGGAGGTGTCGGTCTGTCGGTCACTAACCCAACACCTTTGCAAGGGGTTGGATTCCACCCGCCCCCCCCCATCGCAGATGCCTTCTTGCACAACCTCAAGAGTAAAAATAGGGCCCAACGTGTGGATAACACGATACTTTAATTAAGATATATGGGCAACAAAGGGGAGTGTTGAAAGGGGGGGGCGAAAAGGTCATGGGGCAAAAGGCTGGAATGGAAAGCAGTCAGAGCCGGCCGCGGACCCCTGCCGAATTTCGACCCCCTTGTCAACATCCCGAAGAACAAGCCAGCCACGTGCTTCAGGGCGCCTGCCCAGCAGCTGCCCCGGATCAAGAGGGCTCAGCCAGGTTAATCTCAGTTAAGGGGATTTCAGGTGCCGTCCGCTCATTTCAGAAATGTTGGCTCGGTGGTTCGGATCCCAAGACCGGGGCGCCAGCAGCTGAGCAACACAACGTTCTTGGCGAGGCGCACCGATTCTGCCAAGCCAAGCCAAGCCAAGCCAAGCCAAGCCAAGCCAAGCCAAGCCAAGCCAAGCCAAGCCAAGCCAAGCCAAGCCAAGCCAAGCTGGACTGGGTTTGCCTCGGGTGTAGCAGAGTATATGAGCCACAAACCATGGTTAGGAAGAATCCTGGTTGATGATGAGGCGACAGCTCCTCGGAACGGATTTCAGGTGCTGCAGAGGCTTGGAACCAAACCCCGCTTTGAATTCAGCCTCACGAGGACCATTGGGTGGTGCATGTGTGTGTGTTAAATTAAATGTGAAAATAAAAAATTAACCCCAAGAGGGTCCGTTTGCAAAAGCTGCCCTCTGGTGGTCTTCGCTTAAGCAAGTTCCTTTAAAACAGCTTTCTGTGACTTCCACGTTGAAAATAAACTAACTCTGTTTACGAACTTCCTTGCCCCTGAGGACTAGTAACATTTTTTTCCTTTTATAGCCAGAGGCCGAGATGCTTGGAATCTCCACCTACCCACAATTTATTTCTCAGGGTATTAGCATTCGAAATGGCAAAAAAAGAGAGGATTAATCAGAAGTGAAAGTGCCACCAATCCAAGGGATAAGAGATTTCAGAGCCCCCACATTCCTGGAAACAGATGGCTTTTAAAAATAGTTAGGCTGGGTTTAATGCTTTATGGCGGAGCTTAAAATAAATAGAAGGTTGGGCACCGGAAGGCCAATTACTTTGGCTTTTCCTTCTGCCAAGGAAACCCCTTTGACCCTTCTTGCCTGAATAACAGCAAGATTGGAAAATCAGAGCTTTTCTTTTCTTCTTCCTTGTTATTCAAGTTGCATCAGTTTACTCTGAGCTAAATGCTGCCTGGATCATGTTAAGCATGGTTACCCTGCTTGGGCTTATTGTATGGTGTGAACCCAGCCACAGACCATGGTTTATTGCCCTGCCTATCGTGTGAACCCCTGGCTCAATAAGCCATGGTGTGCGAATCCAACAGCGCATCAGCCAATTTTGTTTTCAACGTGTTTGCTGAAAGAAGAGTTTGCAACTCACAATGGCTAGGTTTCTACCGCACGGTAAGCGAAAAGCCCCACGGGCTTGTTTGCACAAGACGCTTAATCCACCTTTTGGATTTGCACACTCAATTAAGCCACAGCAAGACGAACCAGGGTTCGTGGGCTTCCCGAGTGTCACCATGAGGGCGGTCGTGGACATGAGGGCACCAATTACATGAACTCAGCCATAAAAGCTGGCAGTGGCCCGCGACTCGTAGCCCGAGGGTTTTCTTCTCTTCCTTTCTCCTCACCTGTATTACTACCTGCTCAAAATGGGCCAAAAAATAAAAAAAAATCTGTAAATTTGAAAAGCTACCTGCCCGCTTTGACCTCTCCCAGTGCGATGGTGTAGACAGATGTTCACGGGTTGGTCAACCGCTGTGAACTAGAAGCTTTATGGCCTTGGCCCCTTCCAGGACTTGGAATGAGTAATTCATCGAGGTGTGCTCAGAGCATGCACAAAGTGCTTTTCTTTCAGTGCCGGGGATGACCTAGAGCCCCGTCCCGGTCGGCCCGCCCTCTGTGTCACCTCGCAACCCAACCTCTCGCTCTGCAGAGCCCCACATTCTTTACGGAGACACCCAGCAGGCGAAGATAAACACGAACCGACCCAACCAGTTGCAGAGGAAGAGGTTTCCACACACCGCCCTCCCCAAAACGCTCATCGCCTCTTTTGCATGACAAATTAGATTCTAATTTTTACAAAGGCGATGTGCTAATAGCCCTGGCACATGGGCGGCACAACCAGGCTGCCGGGCACAAAGTCTGACGCTTTGCCACCCAAGACTAGGAGGTGCGTGTCACCCCATGGGCATGTGTCTCAGAGGGCAGCCTCCGGCTCAGGAGCCCCGGAGAAGAAGGAGGAGGCTCCATTGCAAACATGCATTCCTCCCCACCTTGTTCACTTCCCTGCCCTGTTGCCTCCCCTGTGCCCAGTCAGCGAACGTAAATTCCTCGGGGCAGAAGCTGAAAATCTCCAAAGTTTTGGGGTGCAAAGGGAAGGATGACACACAAGTGCGTAAATGTATGCCTGGAGAAAGCAGATATTAGAATCCACAGTCGCCCAGTGAATTTAAACAAGGGGGTGGAGAGAGAGTCGCGAGAGATCAAGGAATCACTCTAGTAAATCGTGCATTAGTTAAACTGTGGAACTCCCTGTCACAAGACATACTGGGGATCCTTCCTTTGGGAAGAAGATTGGAGAGATTAGGGAGTGTAAAGCTGTGGTTTGGGTTGTGTGGCCGTTGACACCGGTGGCTGGGGAGCACAACGGAAAGATCCCGTCCTGGTCACAGGATTTTCACTGGGCAGCTGTAAGAACACAAAACAGCCTTCAGTCTTATCCAGACAGACTCTTTATATTTAAACTACATCATTTCATAATATTTTCCTATTCTGGATGGATAATCTATTGCTGCTGGTGACCAGGAAGCAATAGCAGAAACCTTGTCACTATTTTCGCTCCATTTATTTTACTTTATTATCTGCCTTTCCCACCAAAACTCAGGGGGGCCTCTATGTCTTTTTCCCTCCCCTCCAGCAGCAATGCAACCCCTGTCGCCTCCAAGCAGGAAGAAGGAAGGAAGGAAGGAAGGAGGGAAGGAAGGAAGGAAGGAAGGAAGGAAATAGAAAGAGGAAGGAAGGAAGGAAGGAAGGAAGGATATAGAAAGAGGAAGGAAGGA